AAATCTGTCCTAGGCAGTCCTTTCCAGGTGTTCCCAGTTGCTATTCACTCTTTTCATGTCGGCTTCCAATTCTCGACTCAGTGTGTTATTTGGCTTCCATTTTTTCCGTTTCCCTTCAGCATTCCAAGTTGGCGCTCGCCTCGTGAGACAGTTTGATTATTTTCGCAATGTATGTCCCATCCACTTCCAGCGTCTTTTCCCAACTTTCTCTTCAGCTCAAGGCTGGTTTGTTCACTCCCACAGTAGGCTGTTGCTGATGATATCCGGTCGACAGAGATTCAGTATCTCCTGTAGATAATTGTTTATAAATACTCGTACATTTTTGGTAATGGTTGCAGTTCTCCACACTTCAGCTTCATACAGCACAATTGTTTTGGCGTTCGAATTAAAGATTCTGGCTTTGATATTGGTTGACAGTTGTTTTGAGTTCCACATGTTCTTCAATTGTAGGAATACTACCGTTGCTTCGCCAATCCTTGCCTTTACGTCTACATCAGATCCTGCTTGTTCCTCAATCATACTCTCCAGGTATGTGAAAGTTCCGACTTCTTCCAGAGCCTCTCCATCAAGTTTGATTGAGTTAGTGTTCTCCGTGTTGTATTCGAGGATCCTGTTTTTTCTCTTGTGTATGTTGAGGCCTACTGATGCAGTGGCTTGTACCACACTAGTTGTCTTGACCTGTAGTTGTTTTCATGTGTATGGGATAGAAGAGCTAGGTCGTCTGCGAAGTCCGAATCGTTTAGTTGCATCCAAGCTGTCCATTGTATTCCGTGCTTCCCCTCAGATGTAGAGGTTTTCGTAAACCGGCTGGCCTATTCAAGGGTTCTTCAAAGTTCTCTACCCATCAGCTCCTCTGTTCTTGGATCTCAGTGATCGGCTTGCCTTCGTGCTTGACCGGTCTCTCTGGTTTACGACGAAAACGTTATTTCTAGCAGTAGGTTTATGATGAAATTGAACTAAATGGACATAGTGGACAGCCTTGCCGGACACCACTTGTGGTTGCAAAATCAGATGACAGTTCGCCATAAGCTCTAACTCGACTGATAGTGTTCGAGTAAAGAGCCCTTACAAGGCACACCTTTCAATGACAGACACTGCCACGGAGCCTCTCGGTCTTCAGAGTCAAATGCTGCTTATAAGTCAAGAACAACTATCATTGTCGGACGCCAATAAGCATACCTGTGCTCTGAAACCTGACGAATGATAAATATGTGGTCGATACAGCAACAACCAGGTCTGAAGCCAGCCTGATTTTCTCGTGTTTGCAGTTTACAATAGTATTAGATCGTATATACTATACGTTATTATATCAAACATGAAACCCAAAAATGTTCAACAAATCGATTATACTCTAATTATCACTCGGAAAATGGTTGGTAATTTAACAAAGTCATGAGGTCATCCTGAAATTTTAACCTTTTATTGTCTGCGTTGTGACTTACTTCCATGACAACACGTAAGGAAGTTCACATCTCTGTTCGAACTATTATTCATGAAAGCACACGAGACCAATTTGGTCACATTCAAATCCTTCCCACACCTCTTAATACCACTCTTATCTCCCGAACTAACCCTTCTCACGTCCTTTTATCACCTCGTACCGCTAGAGTGAACGATTCGAGTACGTGGAACATTATTCCTGGTCTCCTGAAACCACACTCTAAACTTCATGTTGAAGCTTATAACGTCCGAACACTGCGCCAAATAGGACAACAAGCTTCCTTAGCTAGGACTTTAGAATCTCGCGCCAATGATGTGTGCTGCGTTTCCGAAACGCGCATACAGGATCCGAGTAGCGTCATTCTTTTGACATCACCATGCCAAAATAAAGAACCAACTCGATTCATACTTCGTGTACCAGGAAGCCCTAATGCTGCTTCTCGTGGACTCGCCGGCGTAGGTATAGCATTGAGTCCTAGGGTAGGACAAGCTCTCTTAGACTGGATCCCAGTACAGTCGTTTGTGCGCTATCCGACTAAACGGAACAATAAGGACTCGGAAAGATATGGTGTCGTGGCTCAAAGAACAGATAATGGCGACCGTCTGTTACAGCTATGCTCAGATAACCGCCTCTTTCTTGCAAATACTAACTTTAAGCTTAAGGAAAAACATGTTTTAACATGGCGACCCCCTAATTCGTCCCAACGTTGGACCCAAATAGATCACATCGCTATCAGCCACCGATGGAGGGGCTCGATAGAAGACTCGCTCATTCTGGAGCACATGCTTAGATTCAGATCATGCTCTAGTGCGAGCGCGTATTTGCCTGCGTCTTACTGGACGTAAGAAAGACGCTGCAAGGAAGCCTCTTAGGGCCCTACTTAATGATAGTCAAACTAAGAGTATATTTCAGGAACAACTAGGAAAACAGTTAGGCAGCCATGTAGGTGATGCCCATCCCGAGGCAGCATGGAATGATATCCGAAAAGCTGTGGAAACAGCAGTGATATCTGCTAGTAAGGTAAACCATAAGGTTAGGGAGAAACGCTATCTCAGCAGCATCTACCGCATTGATAGATGCTCGGAAACTCATTCCAACAGGCTCCGAACATTACGAAGAGCGGAGTCAGCTTAAGCGCAAGCTGACAAGAAGTCTACGCAATGATCGCGAACAGTGGTGGGTAGCGAAAGCAAGAGAGATGGAAAAGGCAGCGGCAATAGGTAATAGCAGACAATTGTTCAGACTCGTTAGGGAAACCGGTATTAGGAATCCGACCGTTAGCGAAGCAATCTCAGAGAAGATGGACATATTATACATTCTCAATCTAGTAGACTGGATCGATAGGCAGAACACTTTAGGGATCAGTTCAACTGGCCTTCAGCCACACTTCGGTTTCCCACGATCTCCAGTCAACCTGAATGGCAAGTTAATTTAGGTCCTCCGACTCCTTATGAAGTTGAAAAAGCCATAGGAAATCTGAAGCGAGGGAGAGCAGCAGGCCCTGACAGGTTCACTCCTGAGATTTTTAGGGATGGCCGTTCAGTATTAGCAGTAAGATTAACTGAGGCCTTAAGTAGAATTTGGGAACTGGACGTAATCCCATCTGACTGGTCTCAATCACTGATTGTGCCGGTTTTTAAGAAAGGACAAAAGTCCTCTTGTGACAATCACAGAGGAATCAGTTTGACTAATATAGTGTCTAAAATATTAGCTTCAATAATACTTCGACGCCTAACCAAAGCTCGTGAAGAACAGACTAGAGAAAATCAGGCTGGTTTTCGACCTGGACGTGGTTGTATAGACCAGATATTCACACTACGTCAGGTTCTAGAACAGAAATTCGTTCAAACGCCCCACCATCGAAGTATTTCTCGACCTTAAGGCAGCATTCGACTCTGCTGATCGTGAGGTTCTATGGCAGTGTTTGTCATTGAAAGGAGTACCGAAGAAGTACATTAACCTTGTAAAGGCTCTCTACTCGAACACAACTGGCAGAGTGAGAGCTTATGGCGAACTGTCATCAGAATTGATTACCTCAAGTGGTATTCGTCAGGGCTGCCCACTCTTTCCATTCTTGTTCAACTTTGTCGTAAACGTACTTTTAGAGATAACACTTTCCTCGTCTACATTTCCAGGGGTTGAACTTCTACCAGGAGATCCACTTGTTGACTTGGAATGTGCCGATGACATAGTTCTATTTGGTGAAGACGCTGACAAAACGCAGAGTCTTATGACCACTCTAAGCAACAATGCAAGCATGTTCAGAATCCGATTCTCCCCCTCAAAATGCAAAATGTTGCTACAGGATTGGGTTGCATCGACACCTGTACTAATGATAGGGAGTGAAGTAATTGAGCGTGTCGACCGCTTCACTTATCTTGGAAGTCTCATCAGCCCTTGTGGTTTAGTGTGTGACGAAATCTCAGCACGGATACAGAAGGCTCGACTAGATTTTGCCAACTTGCGTCATTTATGGCGTAGGCGAGATATCCGTCTATCAACCAAAGGACGTGTTTACTGCGCAGCAGTTCGTTCCGTCCTACTTTATGGCAGTGAAACATGGCCGGTAAGAGTAGAGGATATTCGTAGGTTACTAGTATTCGATCATAGGTGTCTTCGAAACCTTGCTCGTATATCCTGGGACCATCGAGTAAGTAACACAGTTGTTAGGAAACGGGTACTAGGTAAGGATGGCAAATCGATTGATGAAGTGGTGAAACTTGATCAGTTGAGATGGCTGGGACACGTGTTACGTATGCCGAACGACCGACTGCGTCGACGTGCGATGTTCAGTGGTATAGGAGTAGGTTGGAAGAAAGCTATGGGCGACCAGACCAAAACATGGCACAAGCCCATGAAGTCACTGACAAGTGGACTGAGTCATGTTGGTAGGTGTAGACTACCTGGTTGGGGACCGCAAGGTGATAGCAAACGATGGTTAGAGACCCTGAATGACATGGCTCAAAATCGTTTGCAATGGCTCAGGTGCATCCATTCTTTGTGTTCTCCCAAATTCTAATCCCCTGAATCCTCCTTTTCTCTTTTTTTTCTCCTTCCAAATTTATCTCACTGGATTATACTCTTTAAATAACTTCTTCAAACCCTAATTTTTCCGATTACTGCTTATAGTCTTACCGCCTCTATCACTACGGGATTTGAATCGACAACTGCATCTCTGTGCTAATGCGGTATGGCAACTCGAACTGATGTACGTAAGCACGAAGTTCTACGTTGTTACTGACTGACTGACTTCCTGATGGATAAAATCTAACGGTGACTACTTCATTATACAGATCAAAGTAGGTGGAGTACATAAAGGTTCACAAACCAAAAGTTATGGGTTGAGTGCATAAACAATTACATCACATGTCAAATAATTAAACAATAAATGATAAGTGGAACAAGAAACCAAAGCTATTTAGCATGATATGTGAAAATATCTGCTACACTTGTTAAGCGCAACAAAAACCATAAAAAAGTTCGGTTGTCTGTATGTTATTACAAAAATATATTGCTTACCGATGACACGATTTATTACATCGATTACAAAACGCCATTTTTATATGATATGGGCGTGTAGGCCCCTCATTGCAAACTACACAATAACTCGGAATGTGAGTTTCACATACCTATAAGGTGTAGAATAATTTGGTTAGATCCAAATACAATAGTTACACAAAAAGTACAAAAGCCGAAATTTACTGGCCTACATATATATGTAAGTTCATGCAAAACTAGGATTCAAAGGGTTAAAATTATATTATTTATGAATACATTAAATGACACAATCTTACCTGACATTGCTCAATGTGTTCGTTTACTTTAGATAAGAAATTTGTCAATTGTACAATCAGTTTCCCATTCAATACTTGACTTATTAAATCCATGGTGAATGTATACGGTTGCTCAAGAAACCACTCAAGACCATATTTCTTAGAAGTTTGCAAATAATTTAGAAAATGATAAGAAAGTTAGTTAACACGAGAAGACTAAATGTAATTAAACTTATGCTGCAGTTGCTGTCTTGACGTGGTGGTCAAGTTTGCCTACCGTAACGACTGAACCGAGCTAAACTGGCTGCAACACATGTTTCTTGAGCATCAAAAGAAGCAACTTAAGATTCGAGAACAAATTCGTCCTGTTTACTGTACTGGGGTGTTTCTTTAGAGTAACCAGTGTCTATAGCGATGCTGCCTTCTCATAACAAAATAAAGTTTTTATAAAAAGTCACTCTAAATCGTCACACCTCACCTCAACCCAAGGATAGGTGTCTCCGCTGGTGAGACTTCTGAAGTACGGGACTAAGACAGCAAAAACCTCTCACAAAAAGACGATGTGTGATTGACCTTAAGCATCTATCACTTGGGCTCTGTGGTCATGGCTTTAGGTCACTAAGATAACTGCTGATTTAATTCCCATTTCAAGTCATCTGAGAAGTAAAACAGCGCCCTCGTACCTCGGACAGCAGTTCAGATTCTCTTGTTCTGAAGGATTGGTCACATTCACTATCAACATTCATGAACATGTGTTCAGGGATAGTGATGATATTTCAGTTGGTGGCACTATTGAAACACCGATTGCTATTATGTATTACGAATGTAGTTTCAGTGGCTCCCATATTGCCCATTATTTTCCGAACTGAGCAAGAAAAGTGGAGAAGTATTTGAATTACGATACAAAGATGTGATACGAAAGATAACAACTTAAAACTAAGATCTATCGGTTCATCAAGATTTCCCAGTTAGAGTTCTAGATATGGTGCCGTTCAGCAGCTTGAGGCGCTAAGAGATATGAGAGTGTAAGAGCTGGTGGTGATCCTTCTGTAGATTTTTATTCTTAGAAAAGACATGAGCTCTCTTGACTACAACAAAGCTCTCTTGATTTTATTTTCAACTGAATCCCATCTTTTATGACATAACGTTTCTGTTCATTTGTTTATCGACTGCGCTATCCTTCTTTTTTTATCTCTTTACAATATTGTAGCTTCATTTGTCAGGTGCATTTTGTGGTGTTTTTTCACACTATGATGTGCTTAACTGAGTAAATAACAATTTATACAGCATGCGTAAGTGATTAGAAGCTTGCTTAAGCAAAGTACGAACTGGGCGTAGAAATATCTTTCTAACTCGCCTTGATTAATAGCCAACAATAAAATCAGCGTAAATCAAGCAATCCTAAATTAGTTAATTGTGTAAAAACATTGGAATTATATATTTAATTTTTTTAAAAAAAAGAATAACTAGAGGTGTAAATGAAAGATTAAAAGGAATAGAGTCATTGTACTGATCAGAAAACGTTTTTGTAGTGTAGAACTTTAGGTTTATGCGCGAAATTCAAAAGCCAATCCTACAGTTAGCAATTGATTTGTGAATAGCTTTGTAGGTGATACAATTAGTGCCTATACTGTGTAGCATTCATAAGAAAAGGTTCATTATCCCACTATATAAACTGAAAGTGATATTCTGCTAAAGCGAAATTACAAGAAATAATTTACTCCTGAAGATCTAAATTCTTCCCGAAACATAAATTGATAAGAACTCGTTCCTTTTTACTTGAATTAAGTTTACAACCAAAGTACATCACTACTGAAGTATTGAATAATGGACACTGTAGTACGCAAGCACTTTAAAATAGGGATTTCATTCACGAGGTTTGAGATTGTTTTTTAACCTCCCATCGAACCTTTATATAAATATTCCAAAAATTGTGGGTAATCGTATATATGACCTAATAAAGTACCCAGACATATACTGGCTTATGAAATGAATGCGTTTTGGTAACGGAAATACTCTGTTTTAGGACAATAAAAACTTATTACAACCCTCAAGGTACATTATATGTCACATAAAACCACCCTATACATTATTTAGTGACAGACTGGTTGTCCATTTATAATATTTATTAACTAAGAAAGAGTATATAAATTTCTATTTCGCCGAGATTCGGACAATCACTCTTCGAGCTTTCGCCTTACAAGATATGTCATGGATGATTTACACATGATATGCTACTTTTTCACATTGTAATTATTGTCGCTTTTATAACTAATGCTGATATTCAACATTTTATTCGTAATTACCAATCGTTAAAACATTTTATACGGTTTTTGAATTCTTTTACTAGTTATTACGTAGTTTGTCAGTTTTGCAAAACAATTTGGACCAAATTATAAAGTTAAATATAATAATTCTGTTTGCCTAGATATCTTACCTATAGCCTCAATAATTCGCTATTGTTTTTTATAAATAATTCTGAAATTTCTGTCTCATAGTTAACAAACTTGCCACCAGTTTATTTGTACAAGTTTCATCATCAATTATAAAAATGAATAAATTAGTATCGAGCCACGATTTCAAGCAAATTAAAAGGACATACTTCTTCACTGAAGTTGTTACTTAGTATCTAAGTAAGAATTCTTAATTTGTGCAAAAGTATGTATTCTTACTTCAAAATCTAAACTGTAGAGTTTTGCACCTGAACATATATTGAAGTATGGTTGTAGTCTGAAAATCCTAGTACGAATAGAACATACTTGTCTGGCCAACGGTTCATGATAATACCACGATACAGGAACGCGGAATAAATGGCGTGACCAAGCATAATTTAGCCACAAATACGCGGTTCGACATACCTATATAAAAGTTGAGAACCATTTACAGTAACTTATTATCCTATGTGACGTTTTCTTTACATATGAAAAGTAAAAACAAGCGACCTATGAACTTAAAATGAGTGGGTTAGAAGTAATGTTTAACTAGACAAAGGATTTTGCTCACAGGGTAACGATTGACTTGTCATTAGACTCACGAGCAGAACCACAATTCTTGTGGGAGTACAGCAAGACTATTAAACCCTTACATGTATAGAAACCGGCTGCAGTCAATCATAGAGAAATGCCCAAGAAAGGACCTAACTATTCGGATGGGAGAACTAAATGCCAAAGTCGGAATAGACAACACTGGATATGAAGATATTATGGGACAACATGGACTGGGAGAAACGAAAATGGAGAAAGATTTGCAAATCTATATGCATTCAACGAATTGGTCATAGGAGGCACAATATTCCACACAAACGTATAAACAAAGTTACATGGATCCCACCGGACCACACTACAGAGAACCAAATAGATCACATTTGCATCAACAAAAAATTCAGAAGGACAATTGAAGATGTGAGAATCAGGAAAGGAGCTGACATAGCTTCAGATCACCACCTGGTGGTGGTTAAGATTAAACTGAAGCGAAAGAAACACTGGACAATGCGAGAACAGCGTTACGAATGTTCAATACAGTCTTCCTTCCTTCGAGGTACTAACAATCTCAACGAATCCAAGATAGCTCTCAACAACAGGTTCCAAGCCTTATAAGATCTACTGAAGGAAGAAGAAACTACTATGGAGGACAACTGGAAAAGCATCAAGGAAGCATTAACTTCAACGTGTCAGGCGTTGCTGGGCCGAAACAAGCATCACCATAAGAAATGGATCTCTATGGAAACCCTGGACAAGATTCAAGAAACGAAGAACAAGAAAATAGCAATTAACAACAGCCGAACACGAGCAGAGAAAGTCAAAGCACAAGCTGAGTACACAGAAGCAAACAAGCGCTTGAAAAGCATTAAAGCCAACAAGCAGTAATACAGGCAAGAACTAGCAACGACGGCGGAAAAAGCTGCAAGAGAAGGAAATATGAAACAGCTTTACGATACAACGAAGAAACTAGCAGGGAGATATAGTAAACCAGAGAGACCGGTCAAACACAAAGAAGCCAAGACAACCACCGAGATTCAAGAACAAAGGAAAAGATGGGTAGAATACTCCGAGGAACTGTTGAATAGACAAGCCCCATTGAATCCACTGGACATCGAAGCAGCACATACAGACCTTCCCATAGATGTCATTCCATCAAAGATTGAAGAAATCTAGATGACCATCAGATAAATCAAGAGTGGGAGAGCAGAAGGATCTGACAATATACCAACTGAAGCACTGAGGTCAGACATTGAAGTAACTACAAACATGCTTTACCTTCTACTCAAGAAGATTTGGGAGTTAGAACAAGTGCCGACGGACTGGAAAGAAGGACGCCTCATCAAGATTCTAAAGATCTGAGCAAATGTGAAAACTACAGAGGCATCACAGTATTGTCAGTACCAGGGAAAGTCTTCGACGGTGTTGCTGAACCGGATGAAAGACGCAGTAGACACCCAACTTCGAGATCAACAGGCTGGATTCCGTAAGGATCGGTCGTCCACAGACCAAATTGCGACACTACGGATCATGAGGCGTTTGACAGTGTGGACAGGAGAATATTATGGAAACATCTTCGAGACTACGGAGTTCCTGAGAAGATTGTCAATATTAGCCGGAACTCATACGACGGACTACAGTGCAAATTGGTTCATGGATGACAGCTGACAAATGCATTCCAAGTAAGGACCGGAGTCAGACAAGGCTGATTACTCTCGCCCTCTCTTTTCCTTATAGTGGTTGACTGAATTATGAAGACCCCGACATCTGAGGGGAAGCACGGAATACAATGGACAGCTCAGAATCAATTAGACGATTTGGACTTCGCTGATGACCTAGCCCTCCTATCCCATACACACGAACAAATGCAGATAAAGACAACTAGTGTAGCAGCAGCCTCTACATCAGTAGGCCTCAACATACACAAAAGAAAAAGCAGGATCTTCAAATACAATACGAAGAGCACCAACCCAATCACACTTGATGGAGAAGCTATGGAAGATGTGGAATCTTTCAAGGACGAGGAGGTTCAGATGCAGAAGTAAAGGTGAGGATTGGCAAAACAAGGTCCGCATTCCTACAACTGAAGAACATATGGAACTCAAAACAACTTACAACTAATATCAAAGTGAGAATCTTCAATACGAACGTCAAGGCAGTTCTACTGTGTGGAGCTGAAACTTGGAGAACTACAACAACCACAATCAAGAAAGTACAATTATTTATAAATAGCTGTCTACGCAAGATACTCAACATCCATTGGCTGGATACCATCAGCAACCGTCTTCTGTTGGAGAGGAAAAACCAGCCTCCGGCTGAAGAGGAAATGAGGAAGAGACGTTGGAGGTGGATAGGACATACATTACGGAAGTCACCAAACTGCATCACGAGGCAAGCCCTAACTTGGAATCCTGAAGGGAAGCGAAAAAGAGGAAGGCCAAAGAACACATTGCGTCGGATAATAGAAGCAGATATAAAAAGGATGAATTACAACTGGAAGGAGCTGGAAAGGATTGCCCAGGACAGGGTTGGATGGAGAACGCTGGTGAGCGGCCTATGCTCCTTCACGAGGAGTAACAGGCGTAATTAAGTAATGTATAGAAACCACCGTTTTACTGACGGATCAAACAATTTTACCGACATTTTAGTAAGCATTGAAATTGTGATATTATTTTGATTATTTAACACGCATCAAATAATTATAGTGAGAGGTTTAAAAGACATCTAAATGCAACTTAACTAACCCAGGAGTGTGTGAGAAATATATTTATTTACTTGAGTAATAAAACTATTAGCAAAATTTAAAATGAAGAATGAGAAGCCTCAACTACTGCAAGCCTAAAGGTCACGAAATGATTAGGAGTGAAAAGATATGTGTATGCAACCAATCTACAGCAGATGATATTATTTACCTGATGAAATTACATACGACTGAGAAAATATTGTTTTTGGAAAGTTATTAAAATCATAAGTACTAACAAAACAAATTTCATAAGCACTTTCTTGTTTTTCAAGCAACTTTGTTCGACCATATTGAATCAAATCTAATATGAATAGACTTACCGGTTTAGGTTCATAATCACCCAGAACAAACATCCAAGCTGGAATTTGGTGAGTATCTCCCCAATGACACCTAGAACAATAAAAATATCCTGAGTAGTAGCATAAACGAGCAGAATCCATAGTGCATGCAGTGTCTGCAGCATAATTCTCTAATACATTTAGCTCACTTGCTTGTTTATCTATCGTTAAGCGTCCGTTTTGAGTTTTGATAAATAAGGATGGTGAAATCCGACGACTGACTTTTCCAAATGCCTCCATAACAAACGCGTCATACCATGTTTGGATTGGTTCAGAAGCGCTATGAGAAGCAAAAGCAGCATATTTTTTTAGGTTATCAGTTGATTGATTGGATCCTACTACAGATGGTCCTGTAGAAATAGGTTTCAATAAATAGGTAGGCAAAGACAATTGTTGAGAACTTAGGTAAGACGTCACGTGATGTATAGAGTTGTGTTTTGGTAATATATCTTGAAAAGCTTTTCCAATAAGTACACCAATACCCGTTTCAATGACCTCATTGATCGTTTTACCCAGATTACGTGTATTCAAACGTCCTGATAAAACTGTATATGATGGTGTAAAATCAATGGATCTCATACATTCTGCACAAGTCCATGATTGTAAAGTTAGATCTGCCGAAAGAAAAGATAAGTTGGAAACTTCCAAATGTTTAAATGAAATACGACGTCTAGTATCAAATAAAGTAACTCCAGTAAGATGAAACTTTGGATTATTATGAGTGCCGCTTTCACTTTCCGTTCGCAAACGCCGACATCCCATATAGTGTTTAGTACTAGTACCAGGAAAAAGTAATCCACCTGGACACCGACGTGTTAGGCTATTAAGACATCCATCAAAATGACACATAACACCACATGCCTGACAACGTAATATTTTGCCAACCGGACCACGAATTGAGTGCCTACAACATTCGCACGTTCCACCCAGATGACGCATCGCAGAAACACTTTGGAAATCGTGACCACCAGGGAAAGGAGTATGGTGCATAGATGGACGTGAACCCTCAGGACCCATAATTCGGTAAGGCAAACATGGCAGAGACACCTGAGATAAGCTACGTGATAATAAATATAGCTCTGAAAAACGAGGTGAAGATCCAAAATAACAGGAACTTGGTTTCGTCGACACACCTGAGAACTCCTATCGAGTTAAAAATAATAACAAAGGCTGTAACGAATAAGTAAGCATAGAAAAATGAAATGCTAAAAATGCTAGAAATAAGGGGAAACGTAGATTCGAAAGAATCTTAAATTTAGTATTAAGGGTAGAGAATTAGGTAAACTAATCACAAACCTATTATTCAGTTTTGCACCATAGTAAAGCTTACTAATTTTGCCTGTAGATCTTCTCGAGTTACTGACAGTCCCAAGCTCGGGTAAAGGGGGAGGGTTGGGCATGGGGTTAGCGAGTCCATCCCATAGAAAACCAACTCGCTAAAAAACGCTAACCAGAAAAATTAATTCGAACCATTTAAACTCTGTCCTGGAAGTTAGAAAGTCTTCAATTAAAAGAGTTATGATGGCTCATGGTGAAAGCCAAGTTCCTTCGGAAGCCACGAGGCCGATGCCCCTTCTAACAACCAGAGCAAAAATTTTTATAGGTACATGGAACGTTCGAACAATGTGGGAAACCGGGAAGACCAGTCAAATAACAACGAAAATGAGGAGATACAACTTGGCAGTACTGGGAATCAGCGAAACCCATTGAACTCAAGCTGCACAGCAAAGGCTAGATACGGGAGAGATGCTGCTGTACTCCGGTCACGAAGAAGAAAATGCTCCACACACTCAGCGAATTGCTCTAATGCTGTCCAAAGAAGCACGAAATGCACTTGTAGGACGGGAATCTCACGGATCCAGAATTATCAAAGCATCATGCAAAACAAAGAATGAGGGGACCAAAATGAATGTTATCCAATGTTGTGCACCCAACAATGATAGCAACGACGATAATAAAGATCAGTTCAATGAGAGGCTGCAATCAATCACAGCGAAGTATTCAGGAAATAAACTGACCATCCTGATGGGAGAACGAAACGCTAAAGTCGGGATGGACAACACCGGATGTGAAGATATCATAAGACGATATGGACTGGGAGAGAGAAACGAAAGTGGTGACAGATTTGCACATCTATATGCATTCAACGAATTGGTCATAGGAGGCACAATATTCCACACAAACGTATAAACAAAGTTACATGGATCCCACCGGACCACACTACAGAGAACCAAATAGATCACATTTGCATCAACAAAAAATTCAGAAGGACAATTGAAGATGTGAGAATCAGGAAAGGAGCTGACATAGCTTCAGATCACCACCTGGTGGTGGTTAAGATTAAACTGAAGCGAAAGAAACACTGGACAATGCGAGAACAGCGTTACGAATGTTCAATACAGTCTTCCTTCCTTCGAGGTACTAACAATCTCAACGAATCCAAGATAGCTCTCAACAACAGGTTCCAAGCCTTACAAGATCTACTGAAAGAAGAAGAAATTGCTATGGAAGACCACAGGAAACGGATTAAAGAAACACTAACCTCAACGTGTCAGGAGTTGCTGGGCCGCAACAAGCATCACCATAAGAAATGGATCTCTATGGAAACCCTGGACAAGATTCAAGAAACGAAGAACAAGAAAATAGCAATTAACAACAGCCGAACACGAGCAGAGAAAGTCAAAGCACAAGCTGAGTACACAGAAGCAAACAAGCGCTTGAAAAGCATTAAAGCCAACAAGCAGTAATACAGGCAAGAACTAGCAACGACGGCGGAAAAAGCTGCAAGAGAAGGAAATATGAAACAGCTTTACGATACAACGAAGAAACTAGCAGGGAGATATAGTAAACCAGAGAGACCGGTCAAACACAAAGAAGCCAAGACAACCACCGAGATTCAAGAACAAAGGAAAAGATGGGTAGAATACTCCGAGGAACTGTTGAATAGACAAGCCCCATTGAATCCACTGGACATCGAAGCAGCACATACAGACCTTCCCATAGATGTCATTCCATCAAAGATTGAAGAAATCTAGATGACCATCAGATAAATCAAGAGTGGGAGAGCAGAAGGATCTGACAATATACCAACTGAAGCACTGAGGTCAGACATTGAAGTAACTACAAACATGCTTTACCTTCTACTCAAGAAGATTTGGGAGTTAGAACAAGTGCCGACGGACTGGAAAGAAGGACGCCTCATCAAGATTCTAAAGATCTGAGCAAATGTGAAAACTACAGAGGCATCACAGTATTGTCAGTACCAGGGAAAGTCTTCGACGGTGTTGCTGAACCGGATGAAAGACGCAGTAGACACCCAACTTCGAGATCAACAGGCTGGATTCCGTAAGGATCGGTCGTCCACAGACCAAATTGCGACACTACGGATCATGAGGCGTTTGACAGTGTGGACAGGAGAATATTATGGAAACATCTTCGAGACTACGGAGTTCCTGAGAAGATTGTCAATATTAGCCGGAACTCATACGACGGACTACAGTGCAAATTGGTTCATGGATGACAGCTGACAAATGCATTCCAAGTAAGGACCGGAGTCAGACAAGGCTGATTACTCTCGCCCTCTCTTTTCCTTATAGTGGTTGACTGAATTATGAAGACCCCGACATCTGAGGGGAAGCACGGAATACAATGGACAGCTCAGAATCAATTAGACGATTTGGACTTCGCTGATGACCTAGCCCTCCTATCCCATACACACGAACAAATGCAGATAAAGACAACTAGTGTAGCAGCAGCCTCTACATCAGTAGGCCTCAACATACACAAAAGAAAAAGCAGGATCTTCAAATACAATACGAAGAGCACCAACCCAATCACACTTGATGGAGAAGCTATGGAAGATGTGGAATCTTTCAAGGACGAGGAGGTTCAGATGCAGAAGTAAAGGTGAGGATTGGCAAAACAAGGTCCGCATTCCTACAACTGAAGAACATATGGAACTCAAAACAACTTACAACTAATATCAAAGTGAGAATCTTCAATACGAACGTCAAGGCAGTTCTACTGTGTGGAGCTGAAACTTGGAGAACTACAACAACCACAATCAAGAAAGTACAATTATTTATAAATAGCTGTCTACGCAAGATACTCAACATCCATTGGCTGGATACCATCAGCAACCGTCTTCTGTTGGAGAGGAAAAACCAGCCTCCGGCTGAAGAGGAAATGAGGAAGAGACGTTGGAGGTGGATAGGACATACATTACGGAAGTCACCAAACTGCATCACGAGGCAAGCCCTAACTTGGAATCCTGATGGGAAGCGGAAAAGAGGAAGGCCAAAGAACACATTACGTCGGGAAATAGAAGCAGATATGAAAAGGATGAATAACAACTAGAAAGAGCTGGAAAGGATTGCCCAGGACAGGGTTGGATGGAGAGTGCTTGTGAGCGGCCTATGTTCCTCTATGAGGAACAACAAGCGTAAGTAAAGCTTACTGTTTATGATATATTATATTTTACTATTTTATGTATCTGATTATGAATTTTACAGTCCGTATAGATGGTGGTTCGAGGTAGTCGACAGGAAGCCCAGGAACCGGGTTTCGTGCTACTTGGCACTCGTCAGTAAGGTGTATCTGTAAGCTTAAGGGAACTGGTGCTCCTCGACGGATTCGATCCCATGTCACCTAGCTTCACAGTCAGAGACGTTACCATTGAGATATCTGGACCGCGACCGACCTCCTGTAGGACTGAGATGTAATCACAATTGATTGACAACTGGGTGGTGATCAATGTCATGTGTGTTAAGTCATTATTAGTGCAGATCGCAAAGCACCACCCAGTGATCAATCAATTTTGACAGTCCGTATAATACAGAATATTTTAGGCACTCGTCTGGTATTACTGGAGTTCTGATTGGTAGTTTGGGGAATAGACTAGAATACTGAGTGGCCTGTCGATCGTTTTCGGCACACACACTAACGGTGCTGCCGGAATAATTGTTAACGGAGCATAATCAACGGGAAATCCAAAATATTAAGTATTCCCAACTTCTAATCATATGTAAATTAAATAACTCGATTCATGAATACGTTACATTGACATACTGAATCCCAATTTTTTACCACACTGGTGGTTATTGACCTTCTCCAACAGAAACGACCAAATAATAACCTTAACGCTGATATTTCAATTAACTTTCACACATACTGACGAGTACTATAAAGTGAAATAAAAATGTAAAACGCAAACAAAACATGCATAGTACGTCAGTTCTTTGTGGAAACGCCAATGAAAACCATAGAACAAAGGCTCTGGGAGCAAACGTGATACGATAACTTCCGGCAACAACTTAATCATGTGATGGCAGTGAAAAATCGGTCGGATACAGTTATACCAAGCATTGTACTAGTGAGAAATAAAATGAATAGGCATTACTCAGAATGCCTGACAGTATGAATGTAGTACAATAGTTCATAAGTTGAAATTGACGGTAAAGTTTGGTAGAATAAAGACTTGAGATGTCAGATTATTATTCTTCAAAAAACCAGTTGACAACACTATATATGGATTGTGAAAAGTGATGGAGGACAAGGATCTAGACTCCTGTGAAACAAAAAAGGAACGGAAAACCAACAGCCAAAGGGATATTATAATAGACGAATCGAAAATTTGTCAGGAAAGATAAACATAATATCATGAAGTACTCGATATATTTAGGAGGTTAAATACTGTATGAGCCTATTCTACTGTGAACCTTGATATACATGAACCAAATTATTTAAGCTTGTATTCCCAATTCGCTGATGTACCCAGCTAGAAAAACCAAAATTATTAGAACGTTAATAAACTCTGTGGATTGATATGGACACAGCTAGCTTTATTCTAATCCAACAAGGATTATTTAGCTAAACCACATTCACATTTTATAGAAGTACAAAAAAGTAGAGACTTATCAGTAAGACTAATTTTGGACTATTTTATATTGAGCTTGTAACACGTTATTACCGTTAAGTGAACTTTATTCAGTTAATATATAGCTCCTTACACGACGTTTAGCAATGTCTGATATTAAACGGATGCTTTGAACCCAACGTCCTTTATATATTTCACTAACATACTTTATTACTTATAAGGTTCTAAGTTTCCTGGTAATGGTTTGTAAACGTCATAAAATAACTTATTTTCAAACAATCAACGTAACTCAGAAGCTGTTCGGAGTACATATGGAGACGAACTATGTTTACTTATTATCTGATGAGTTATACTTTAGTTTGACAAATTTAATTGAAAAGCATGATGTACAAAAATTGTAATCGGAATTTCTGGTACGCTTGAAGCTAAGGTAAAACTGACTAACTAGTTCCAATCACAATAATAATTGACAAATAGTGGCGACAGATCTTACTCCACCTTAACATCCTGTAAAATCCTCCTTAATTGAATCAACCGATCTAATATGCGATCTTTTCTTCCCGACGACTCGTTAGATAAAGCCAAGAACATATGTTTGCATTTGAGAATTGCATCCTTCAACTCCTCCACTGATGAATTCTCGTTGATGCGTGCCTAGGAAGGATTAAAATAAGTGCGTAAGTACTTGGGACTACAAAAACAAAACTTATTGATATCTAAAACTTAATTACTTGAAGACAAATGTGCTCGACTTACGAAGGGTATGCTGAAATAATCGCTAGATAGATATTCTAAAAAACCTTTCACTCTGAAGTTTGTGAGGGTTGGGGCTATAAAAAAATTTAGATATAATTAACTTTACAAACGACCCACCATCATATAGAGCAGATATGAGACTCTGCTGTTCGTTTGTATTACAATTAAAAGGGTTGAGACGTCGAGATCCTTTAGCATCTGCATTATCCATATTATAATGATGTTTGATTTGAAACAACTTAGAACAAAACAAGAAAGTATTTAAGAGACAAAAAAATAACACTGGATTTTAGGGAATGATGTGTGGACAACTTTATGCACTTTGGAAAACCTAGATGAACATCAATTATTAGTGTTGTAAACTTGCAATTCAACAGATAACTAGAAGACAGAATCCATGACTTTGATGAAGAACTTTAATATTGAAACTAAAATCCTTCAGGGATAAGTTCAGGATACCTTTTTGATCTCATAATGATCCAGTGAATAGAACATAACTAAATTGTGTCGATCCAAATGATGTTATGGTTTTCACGCAGACAAAGTAATACTGCCAACTGCCTAGAGATGTCACTCTTAAATGAGTTTACGATCAGGATTTAATAACTAGGGTTAAGATAAGATTTAAGATTAGAATTTGATTAATTACTAGGATGTAAGGTTTGGGATTAGGATGTACAGTTTAGTAGTAAATTTAAAGTAAACAGAAAGACTTTAATATATTTACCCGCCTTAGCCCATCAGAGAATATGAATGACTAGTACACAATTTTAAAAAAACGAAGGACTCTACTAATATGTTGGCTTTACATGATTAATGAGCTTATCTAAGTTATCTAATGGTTCTTAGCCGTTGGAGTTACGACCGAAGTTCCAGATTGAGTTTGAATTAAATTAACATATGACATAATCCATAGTCCAAACCTTAAAGCCCACTTATAAATCATATACCTAAGAACGTATCCTGCTCCTAAACGTGACCACTGAAACCCAAACAAAAAGGAAAAGACGGAGACAGTGAAAATTCAGGCAAGAACTAAATTTCTCGCCTTTGGCGTATAGTTTTTTAGGGAAATGTTTCGGCGAAAGGGGGTAAAATACGCAGTGTTCAGTATTTGGTGGTCTTCCAAGACCACCAGAATGGACATGTCCATCCTGAAGATACCGTGTGGTAGAGCGTGAGGTGCAGTGTGGAAGAATCCGGCGAAAAGAACGACAATAAAAGTACACAGAATGCATTCATAATTTGATAATAGAAGAAATGGGGTGAGAGTATAATTTACGGACGATGTTTGAGCGAAGCTGAAGTGACCCTGAGGGTGGACACCTACTGATTAGGACTAAATGAGGGATATAAAGCAGTTAGAATTCTCATTTACAGTTGATGGTAAGGGTTAAAAAGTAGACTTAGGGCTATCATCACGAACTAACACCAGCTATAATGCCAATACGGATGAATTTTGCGCCAAAATGGCAAGGTATAAACGGTAATCCCTTTCAAATCTGTCCGCCGTTTCGTTTCAACGACCTTGAACGCGCTGACTGGAAGCGGGCATTCCGTATTTCAATTGCCGTGTGTGTGTTGGGTCCTATGAGTTTTAAATGTTTCCATATATAAGTCATCTTTTGATGCATAATAAACACTAAATAACTGCTAAGAGCATTAACTGAGTATTTTCTGTTTTGTAGTGCACACTTTAGTTCTGTTGTTCCTTCGAAACTTGATCTGTGGTCCTAAGTGCTGTAGTGAAAGTCAACATCTATATATAATTTGTTGATAAGGTCCAGAAAACAACGTAAGAAAGATAAAATAACGTAAAAGGTTATAGATGCGCCTAGTTTTTGTGAGTTAAGACGAAATGTCAACTGAAGGGTAAGTCCTAAATATTTGTTGTTCTTCCTTCAATTAATTTTTTTCAAAGAATAACCTTTTTTTAATAACTATTGTATGTTGTCTCTAGTGCTTCATGCTCAAGTGAAATTTCAGTGAACGTAAGCGACGCGTTCCAACGTATTATCCTGAACAAGAGATTCGGAAGCTGGATTAAAGTATGATAGGATAAACCTATGTTTTCTCAGATGACCCATACACACTATGTTCACGCAGAAAGTAGATTGTTGAAGGATGTGAGATATAAATACTTGTTCGTAGTGTTTCGTTGCACGTTTGGTCGTAAACGTAAATCAGAAGGTCTGAATGTGAATAAAAAACCGTGAGGACTCTAACTAATGTGTTACATTTAAGGTCTAAATTTTTAAATTGCCAATCGATGTTTCGCGTAAGATTGGAGGGTCAACAATATGTTATAAAATCTTACAACATGTCTCACAACCATCGGTGTACTAGTTCGTGGATGGTTTGTGATCCGTTGAGTAAACGATTGTCATCAGAAGAAAAAGAAAACTTGAAACCAGTTATATTCCACTGTCATTCGACGGACGAAGTTATCGAAAGTACTAAGGAAAGAACAGGTAAGCAGGTGACCGCTGCTGATGTGAAAAATATGAAAGCTGAACTCTCCACTGGTAAGTGTATATAAATATATTTCAGGTTGGACTCGGAAGCAGGTATTGCAGATGATGCGACAAAACGGTGAAGTTAGAGAGCATGCAGAAAATGGATGTATTACGGCGATATGCTTCAGCAGTTATGATCAGATACGGCTGTACAGTCAATATCCCGAAGTCGTGTGTATTGATTCTACTTATAAAACTAATAATAAAAAGTGAATATGATTTTCGTTTTGTTCTACTATGTAGATATCCATTATTCCAGTTAGTGGTGACAGACAATTGGGGCCGAGGTCGAACTGTTATGTTTGCATGGACACAAAAAGAAAAGCGTGCCGATGTTACGTGGGTTTTGGATAAATTCAAGGAGATAATGGGTAACACGACCAAAACAGAAACATTTGTGATGGGTTGCGCACGATCTGAAAGCGCGGCTGTCCGTATAACGCACGGGCATGCAAACATTATTTTGTGCGCCTTTCATTACGAAGTGGATGTAAGTATTTGTGAATGCAATTGTAGCACTTTTAATATGTGTCGATATCCGTGCCGCCATCTCCTGCTGGCATATATTAAAAGACGAAATCTAACAGGTAAGCTATTTAAATTATAAAATATAAACTGCATAGCTCATCAACTTCTTAGGTGTTGCTGCAGATGGAAATTAGACAATACGCACAATTTACAAAACAACACAGGAATTTCATTACCGAGACGGAGTAAAGAATATATACAACTTCAACGGCTCCAAAGAATGTGCAAACAACAAATTGTTGAGAAATATGGTGAACGCTTCGCGAATCAGGTGGAGAGAAAAGTCTACAATTTTTACTTAAGAATTATAAACAGCTAGACAGCAGGTTTACGATTAACAGTTCTTTGTGGCTATTTATACAACTTGTAAACTTATCTTTCCACTTTAGTAGTCATGAAAAATCAATAAACTTTTTCTCATTTTTTATTTTCGTCTTCATACTTTCATGGGGAGGTTTACCAATCGCTTTAACGAATAATTGTGTGTGAAAATTAAGAATTTGTACTACTGTATTAGTTACGAACTGTCGTTAGAACTTAGCGTTATATCGTTGTTCATTGTGAGGAATCAACGAGTCAAATAAAACAATAATGCGACTTCCACGTAAAACCTTACAGACTAAACAACCGCCTTATATATTTTCCGTTGTCAGATTACGTCCATTATCAAGTTAGTATTAGTATGGAACTAGACAATTTCATGCAGCTAGTTCCTTGATAAGATGGATTACATAATCCTTAGACCATCTTTCCACTCACACTTCTTTGCTAAATTATGTTAACTCTTCAGATTGTCTTCACTTATCTTATTAGTTCTTAATTCACTGATTTATTAATTACATCTAGAATTATCACACAATTTATCTTATATGCTTCTGAGCTTCACTCGACTATTACACCACCCATCCTTTATGTTCCCTTAAGTCTAACACCAAATGACCTTTGACCTGTTCAAGCATATACATATGTATAGTTATTATTGATAACCTAGGTCATTCCAATTCTTTGCTTTCTATTATCTTTCATACTATTTCTTCCCTCAATCTTAAATTATAATGCATATTCAGTTGTATGCAACTTATGAGAAACCACGAAATGTAATGCAGTCACATGGTTCTGCGTCAATATTTGTTTTGGCTTTATTTAGACCATAATTACACAAACTTACAGGATTTATAATATAAAACACTGCGTATGGTTGTTATATTTATATTTAAATAATTCATTAGATGAATGAGCATAGCAGTAGGTAATATAAAACAGTTATCGTAAACTTGTAAACCGGTTTTCCACACGATCTTCCGTAATCCTAAATTCCATAAGCTTTATACTATTCTGAAAAACAACAAATCCGTTTTGAGACAAACAATTAAACTTTGTTCTCAGTATCATATTCAATAAGTTATTCAAATAGCAAGTAACAGACTGTGCCTATAAGTCTTTTATTAAAAAGTAGTGACATTCATTCATAACTTCCTAAGTAACACAACAACTGTATTACCGAGACGGAGTGAAGAGTATATAATAACTCATTTGTGAACCCTATAACAGACATCTCACAAATCAGTATTAACTAAAAAACATGGTTGTGTTACCATTCTCACAAGAAACACCGATCGTTTTATTCATGAAGATTTTGTTCCTACTTGATGTGGTGTTATACACTATTACTGCAGACGTTCAGAAAGCCGCTGGACAACACTATAAACGTCAATTGTTACTCACATATTTCTTTTCCCAGATGCGTTACATAATTGTGTCACTTCAGTACAAAACAATGGTACCTCTAATAAATATAACTTTTTATGGCTAAATACAAGCAAGTTATATAATATTCACAATTAGGTTAACGCTTGATTGCTTCTACTTACATTTTATAAACAACTACCGACATCCATGTTCACCGTCACCGCAATCAAGGAGGTGAACCATATGTAAAAGATTTTACGGTTCATTTTCGTGAAAACTCAATCTGTGGTGTATTTTTTGACTAGAAAAACGGTGAACTTTACTTGCTTGAGTTTGTATTGTTACAAATAACTATATTAAGCTAACTTCAGATTTACTTACGTGGTGAGCAAGAAATACGTCAAACTGCCAATAAATTGGAATAAAAACTATGTTACAAGCACTAGCAATACAGAAATTGATGTGTCATGCAAAAAAG